ATAAAGTTTGTGTTTTTTTTTTTTTTTTGACTATCAATAAAGTTTCTATTAATAAGAAATTTTATTTTCTTGGTTTGGGTTATTAAGAAGAACAAAGAAGAGGGGCAAAGGGCACAAGACCCTTTTTGATTTAAGTTTACTAATTTGAAAGTTTATTCAAACAAACACAATTGACATATTGCAAAAAATAAAAAATGATTTATTATTTCAATTTATGTATCATGGATGAAAAACAATGCAGAAAAAAGGAGATTTGGTAAAGAAAAAAAAGTAAGGAGATGAAAGAGAGGACTAGAGAAGGGAGGAGAGAGAAGCTCGAGACGTCTAACGGGGAATTTCTCCGTTAATTGAGTGAATTTCCCTGGAGTAGAGGGTACTACCGAGTGGTATTACGTAAATAATTTCTTCTTCATACGGAAGTACATTGAAAGAAGAGAAAGATTGATGTAGTCACCCATAAGAGGTTGAAAATTTAATGGGAGAAATGGCCCACAATCGAACGAAAGTCGAACGCATTGCCCACAACCTGCCGACAATGTTGAAAGGAAAGACAGATAGAATCGATCGATAGCGAAAAAGAGAAATTAAAAAAGCAGACAGTGGCCAGCGATCCCGCACTATGAAACGTTTTTTTATCGTTCGAGATCTAAACCCGAGCGGACGTCAAGAAAAAAATAGATCTAAACCTGACGCTTTTGTCATCAGTAAGTTTCGACCTAAACCAATCAATTATGAGGAGGACAATAACTCAACAATATATAGTATTAGCTCCGCTTCATTTTCTCAACTCAGAATCCTTAGAGATCATATATTGAGAGAAGTAGCCAGCTTGAGCTTTCTACTAGAGAGATATCAAATGAGGAATCAGGCATATCAACAACAACCAACTTTGTATGCAATTGTTTTCATCTTCTTAGACAGGGGTTAGTTAATTTATCATATGTTATGTGCACAGGAACGAAGAGTAAGTAAGAGGTTGGAGGCCAGGATGGAGGAGCTGCAGTCAGAAATGGACGCCCTAAACGAGGAACAATCAAGATTAAGACAAGGGCAAAGAGAAATGAAACAACATTTTGAAAAGATCAAAGCGGAGTGTGCACAGCTGAGACAGGAGACCAGCCTCCTTCTCCAGCAAAATGCAGGCTCCCAGCTTCGCCTTGTTGCGAGCAAACGTGGTTCTATCTAATTAACATCTTTAAAATTAATTAGAGGACATGGGTTAATTTTGCCTTTGCCATATGTTGCTGTGTTAAATTAATTATCAATATAAATTTCACCCTCCATTATATTTTTATAAGTGGTTATATATATATATTGAATTACACAATAAAAAATAATCATATCTTATCTCTTTTTAATTATCAACATGTCATGTGGATCAAATTTAAAGTTTTTTATCTTATCAAAAAAAAAAAAATCACTACTTAGGTCGTCTAACTACAAGTGATAGTATTGAGATCAGCTTTCTATGGATAAATAAAAAATCATGCGTTTCCATACATGAATTATAGAGGAAAAATGATCATATTATAGACTGTTTAATATAAGGAAAGGGAAAGGGAAAGGAAAATTATTACAAGTGGTAAAATTATTTTATTGACACAATAACTAAATTTACTTGTTAAAATAATGCCACTTTGTCCGTCTTCCTTAAGGCAATAAGTATTGAATAATTTCTTCTTATATGGGAGTATATTAAAATAAGGGAAAGATTAATGCGGTCATTCTTGTGAGGTTGAAAATTTATCGGAAGATAGGGCCCACAATCGAGCGAAGTCGAACGCCGATCTGCCGGTGACGTTAACAGGAAAGACTGGGGCGAACGATGCCGCACGATGGCGCGCGATCCCGCACGACAACGAGTTTTTAATCGCTTGAGATCGAAACCAGCTGAGGCTATCGTCATTTGCAAAGTTGAACCTACCAAGGCAATTAACAAAAGGAAAATAGTTCTAACCGAACAAGTTGAGAACTTGAGATATGCATTAGACTTTATAAATCAGTTAATTAATGTATCTAATATTTTAATTAATATTAAAATTTAAATCACATTAATATCGTATAAATATTTTTTTTATCTTTAAATTGTAATCATTCAAAAAAAAAAAAAAAAGAAAAGAAAAGAAAAAGAAAAAGTCAACATATAGATAGCTGCCTCTGCGTCATTTTCTTAACCAAGAAGTATCTTCATCATCAGTGTTTGCATTTGGCCGCACAAATTGATTAGGGACAATGCTCTTGAAGGTTTAACATAGGAAGGGAAGAAGATCCATTGATGGTGTATGACTCACATGAGAGTTTTTGTTTTTGTTTTTTTTTTTTTTTTTTTTTTTTTGTTGCACGGTAAGAGGTTCAATTGAAGTGGACAATGCAGACGAAGGGTGAAGTAGTAAAACCCACAATGGAGGATGGAGATTGGACAAACAAAGAGTAAAAAGAGAAAGCAATCTTT